TTTATTTTGTGTTCTGTCTGACGACAGGTCCATATGACCAGGATCCTTCCATCCTTTTCTCGGACTGGGATCTGTTCATATACGTTCTTGGCAGATGATCCCGAAGTGGTTTGCCATTGCCTTCTTCTGTGTGTGAATGGAGTAATTGTTGGGATGCCACGGAGAAACCGGGGAAGCCCCCGGAGGAAAACTCCGTGTTGCCTAGACCACGGCCTTGCCCAACACAAGTTATAAATTCGGGCACCGCCGGGAATCGAACCCGAGACCCCAGGATTACGAGGCCAGCGTTCTAACCGCTAGCCTTTTTATTGACATCTGTGCTTAAAGTGAATAGTACTCTGCCTGTATTGGACTGAATTCTTTAAAATTTATACAGCACAGACTGTTTTGTGAAGATGGTAATGAAACGTCGCCTTCCAGAGAAGAAGAGAAATTTCTTATTAGGTCGAGGCTATCAAATTCTCAAGTCGGACATTGCTGTCATGAACTGTCAATATGCTATAACACAGCCAAATATTTGTTTTATTGTCTGTTATTTGGTTTTGAGCTCAGAACAAATGTGCTACAAGAAATATATCTTCCTCACTAATTTCAACTTCTGAGTTTCACACACACGCACACAAAAATTCAGTTAGAAGATAGATAAATGCACGCAGAGACACAGAAGCGTCTTGTTTCAAACTAACAACATTCTCCTACCCCAGTTAGGGTATGTACTTAAATATACAAGGGCTAAAGGAAGAAGTGGCATGTGGCATAACCCTACTCCTGGCAAGGTGGAATTAGTTTTAATCTTTCAAGAAGGCGGGTGAATCGTTTCGCTTAAGCAAGAAGAGGATAATTCTGTTTGTGCGCCTTCTTAAGGGCCCTAGAGGGTTAAAGAGGAAGTGCGTTCGGGGGAAGCCGCAGACTGGTGTGGTCGAACGCAGTGTCCGGGAACCGCAGACAGCGCACCAGATCGGCGGCTCACAGCGCGGTTTAAATAAGCAGGTGTAAGAGTTTACATTTGGTGAGATTTCAGGTTCTAACGTCGTCGAGTATGAAGATTACTGTTTTCTGGGATGTAGCGCCTTACGGTCCGGTAGAAGTTTGCTGACGATTCAAGAGTGATTTCTAATCCAATCCATATTGTCATACCCTATTTTTTTAAGGTTTACTTTAGCGCTGTTCCTTTATTCATGTATAGTCTCCGGAGTGATGTCACCATTCAGGTTTTTCGTTTAAAATTTCGTATGCATTTTGTATTTCCCACATGACTACTAGAGTTTTCGCCAGTTCCGGCTTCCTTCGTTTGTTCTCTCTAATAATGTTTTGATAAAACTACAAATTTTGCTTTGTTATGTAATTTTCTCCACAGTTCTCTTATTTCCTGTGTCTCACGTATGGATATTCCTCTTATATGCTCTGGAATATTCTCAATCTAAGTGAGATTTCAGGTTCTCACGGCTCAGATTATGAAATGGTTATCTTCTGGATTGTTGCGTCGTGAAGTTCTGTAGCAGTTCACCGATGTTTCTGGGGCTTGCTGCGTGCATTACAAGGGCGACCACCCTCATTCATCTTAATTCTCAGTCTAGATTCTTCATTGAGAAGAGGCGACAGATTTTAACTCCTCTGTTCCATAATCCATATTATATAGGCAAATACACAGAGGCTTTGTGGCAAAAATCAAACCCGTTTTTTGTAGTTACAACCAGAATTGGACATTACATAGTCTATGTTTCTGTCCCTGGTAAATTAATATGCACTTCGAAGTTTTTGATTGATAAAGGAGTCTTCAAATAAAATCTTCTATCTTTTGGAATATCCAGAAGTCAAACATGACTGTTTCAGGTCTCGTTCGTCACTATATCAGCCTATAAAATTGAACGAGTGTCGTTAAATAACGTAAAATCAATATAAGTAACTTCAGATTATGTAATAGTGTTTTCGTAATAATAATCTGGTATAGAGGCGTAATTCAAGCGAAAACAATGCAGCCTGCATGAATACATATGGCGGTGGGTGCCGGATAGTGGCTTCAATCGACTCCAGTAAGTTGGCTGGGGGGCTATTTGCTCTTTTCCAATCGCTTCGACCAGTGGACTGCGAAATTGAAGCTGTAGGCAGACATACTGCTGCCGTTGTAGAATCGTACGTAGGTCGTTGTCGATACACGCCATGATGAACTCCAAGTACAGTTGGGAACATAAAATAACTAGATATCAGGGAGAAATAGCGGGAAACATGCAGAATGTTAAAACACTTTGAGGAAATGCCATTTTGGAGATGAGACAAAACTATATGTACCGCAGTAGTAGTAAATAAGAAAGAAGTTTTGATTCTGATTCGTTGTTGCAATAGCTTGTTTGTTCGCTTTATTTCTATTTATTTCTGCCATTCTTTTTAATTTTATATTTATTTCGATAACGACTTAATTTTATTCACCATTTTATCAGCCTACTTCTACTGCACTTACATGGAAATAAGTGTCAATCTCCAGAACTGTACAATTTTCATTGAAGAAATTTACCCCAGTCAGGGAAACATCGATGCGTGTAATACCCGAGTATGACTGAAATAATCCGCCGACGTTAGTAATTCAGAAAATGTTGTTATTCTTGCATCTCTTTCGTTCTTCGTGCCGCAGAAAATATAGGCCTATTTTATGCGTTCTTTACACAACAGTACACAACTGTACATTCATTTATGAAGATGTGATTGGACATATGTATGTTTTAATTTCAATACTACTGTGCTGTTTTACATTACGTTTGATTATGAGGAGTATACAGTGAATTTTGAACCTATTGCTGCTGCTCAAACTAATTTACACGAAGCTCAAAGTAAAATTGATTAAATTACTCAAAACGGCTTATCATACAAAGAATTCAGTACATAACATAAAATGTATATCTAATAAGCCTTTTCATTTGCGCCAGAATTATCTGCCTTTCGTTATGACATATTTTAGTTTCCAACGATTTAACATTGTCTGTTGAAATTAAAATTCCTTGTGCTTCTGCTACGCGATATGCAGTGTAAGGTTTTAGACAAATCGGAATACGTCTACAATAGTTATTCAATCCGAATATTGTATTGATTTCTGGGAACATTTTTGGTATCTGTTGTCGAAAACTTCGAAGTCGTACTTAACATGTTTCCAGAAGGTGACCAAATCTACTACTGCTATTACTCGACACCTCTTCTTTGTGTACTAAAGGAGAGGAGCGGATAATTCTTTAATCCGACCGACACGTTCTGGATATAGTACCAGAAAAAGCAACTTCTGCTTAAGGAGAAAATCGAATGATATAATTTTACTTACGTGTTCTTCAATAATGTTGTGGTTTTAAATCATTTAATAAATCAAATAACAGGCTCTAAATGAAATATATAGAACTCTGTTTTAATTGTATTTACCTCTGTGCTGGAGATAATTTTATATTGGCATAAGTCTCTGAGAAGAGGTATGAAAACCCAGATGTAATTTAAATTTTCTAGTTTATGGCTACGATCGTACTTTTCTCTTCAGGCCTTTTGTACATGTTTTTTTATTTAATCTGCCATCCATAAAATAAATTATATACTCGGAAAAATAAAAACAGAGATTTTGATAGAAATACTTTTTGAAGTATTTAATACACCTATTTAAAATCTGCGTGAATTATAAAATTGTGAATATGAAAGTCCAGTGAGACCCAATCTAGATTCGATTTCATGCGTCTTTTCATCATGGTAACATAAACCACAGATTAAATTGACTGATTATAAATAACATATATTTTAGCGGTTCTTTCAGTAGGCCCTGTACATCTGTGACGTCTGTTCTCAGTCTTGCGAATAGTTACTGGTCGTTTAAAAGTATTTGAATTGCAGACTTTTTCTCGCGAGGATCTCCGACCTTGAGAAGTATTGGGTGAATTTATTCTTGTGGAAAATTAAATACAAATTCCATTAGAACCGGATTCATGGACAGAAAGTCTATTATGAAACAGCTCACCTACCTCTCTTCGTCCTCTGCCTTTACTTCCCGAGCTTGAAGCCATTCTTTTCCGATACGCAATCCTGAACTGAGTCACACTGCATTACGTATAATAGGTGTAGTCTGTCCGTTGGTCGATGAACAGCATCTGAAATATAGCAAAATGACATGACCACGCTTCTTCAACTTGGGAAAATACTATTTAGTGTCACACAGAATGATCTCATAACTCGGTATAATGAGAAAAAGCTAGAGGCGCGTCGAATAAAGTGTCAGAGAACAAAAGCTCAAAGGCATAAAACACTTAGTACACAGAAAAAAGCGAATTTCTGTTCCTTAAAAAAGCACAGAATTTTACATAAATCGTAAATCTGTCTCGACAATTTTCTTTAAGATCCTCAATGGTGTGAGCCAGATAATGAGTTCTGGAAATAAATTCCTGTCCGTCTTTCATTACATGTTTAATTATTTGTGAAGTTATCAAAGACTACACGTGAATAATTACAAATTTTATTTATTGATTTCTGTACATAATCTCCATTGCCACATTCTACATTGCTACTTTTGTCAGACAGGAACTATAAAGTTTTGAATTGTTATCATATACTAACAGGGTGATTATCACCCTTATGATGGAGGCAAAAAGCACTTTTTAAAAGTCAGTATACGTCTACCAGAGTACACAACGCAATCCAGAAGACAAACATACATTTTCTCTTTTAACCTCAAAAGATGTCTTATAACCTCTGCAGATGACACAATATCGTTAAATAGCCAATTGTCTACTGAATTCTTCCTATGTATACTGCAGGTCTATATACATGGGTTGTTACAGATTTTCTTATGCTTATTTTGACTATATACGGGACTATAAATGCATTAAGTCTCATATTAATTCTTTATGACTCATACGATTTGAACAACATAATTTTAATGCGATCTGTAGTTTCACCTTAGAAATATCTGACGCACTGCGACAATAAAAGTACAAACATAAATTGAATGAGTTGTGTGGGTAAGAGACAACGATCCATAACGCAAGAGTTTAACTGCTTCTGTTAATTGCAAGTTTCCCCTTGCAATAAAGGCCGTTTAATTTCTGAACTCGTTTTGACAAATACCGAAACATAAAGTCTTACATGTTCACAATGACAGTTAGTTCTCAAATTTAAATTACTTTAGATGTAATTGACATAAGTATTTCGTGTCGTCATTTATAATAATGCTAGGTTTCTTTATGCTGTTGCAGTTAACTCGAAGAGAGAGGTACTTTCTTACAAACACCAAGTTCTGGGAATAAGTTTTACGCTCCATTTTCATGCGGAGGAATAATAACATGAAAATGTATATCTTCGTTACACAAAGCATGATTTCCACAATGCTCCAATTACATGAAGATTGCTATAGGTTAGGCTTAACTAATTTTAACAGTTTTTAACTTTGAAACTTTCATCTTACAAATAAAGATTCGCATATTTATAATTCCAAGTGCCATACTTCCACCTTCATCATACATCGTCATCAATTATCTTAATGAACAGAAACCTATAATTATTGTGGTTGCCGCTTTGAAACTGTAATCTTTACAAAAATTAGTTCACAAACGTGGCAATTTCCCTTAAAAGCTGTTATAATTATGTAACATAAAATTTCAAATTACTTAAAATAAATTGCGCTAAAAAACACAATCATCGTATTACTGTTGAAAGGGACTAGCAAGGAGTTTTGATTAAAACTCATAAATTCTGCTTTTCTATTTAACATATCTGTGGTCCTACAAATCTTCAGTTCTTGTGTTATTACGTAATGTTAATTCATGGCTCAGCAATAGAATGTAACTTAGCTCATTGGTCTTCGTGTTGGGGTAGTGTGTGTAGAAAGCCGGTATTATTGTTGGACAACCCAACCCCAATTGATGTCTTGGAGCAATCATGTGTTTCAGAAATCATTATAGAAAGTCCTTTGTCTGCGTGTTATCTTATAGATCACATTAACAGCAACATGTATAAAAGCTATAAACATTAGAACTTGTCAAAGCTTCCCCCGATCTTTTTACATATTCCTAGTCATATAACTACAATGCAACACTAAAAGGACGTTATAAATGGGACAGATTCTATACTTTTATGACCTAGGCTACACCCCCTCCACACACCCTCACTGCAGCAATCACTTTACTATCAATTCTGTTAAATGCCAAATTTTATGAGTCCTGTAAGGTTAATATAAGCTATAAATGTTTGCATGGATAACGCACTACTACGCCGTAAATCTGAACCTCGGCCCTTTACAGTACTACTGTGTTTCAGAACATCCCCTCAACTCTCAAAACTCCCACCCTTCGGGCGTGATGTGAATAATCCTGCTTCTAACCAGTGTACCTGGTTCGACGCTCGGTAAACTTTTATTTCTTGATCCTAGGTTGACGAACCGGTCTTGTCATGTGATCACTGACCTTCAGGCGGATCCAAGCAACACCTGATTCAGGGCCAGAACGCTATATAAACACAGATAGTCCTCAGTGTATAGTAAATAGCTTAATTCTTTTATGAACACTTGAGTCTTTATGTTAACTAAATTGTTATTAATAACATAAATGATAATAAACTCTTAAAAACATAGACGCATGAAACATAATTCTTCCAGTCCTACCGTATCCAAGTGGTCTCAGATGTGTTGTGCGCATGATCTTCAGATCGCGAACACTCAAGGCCCCGAGTTCGAACCACACCTACAGCATGTATGACAACGCTTTTCAACATCGCGAATAACACTGTACTAGTCTTCGAATTTATTCGGAAATGGCGAATACTCTTGATTAGTAAGATTGTGAGTGAACATATGTTAAGAACATCGTATAATAACGCAGAAGAAAAGGCACATCTATTGCCAAACACCAGGCCTAATACCCTTTATTTAACACGTCTTGAATTTGCCGATGTAAAACCGTCATCTTCGGGGCGAAAGCCTTTCCGGAGGGGACTTAACTGGCGTCTGGTCAGTCAACTTAATATCACACTAAATTAGGGTGGTAAAGCATAACCTATCAGAAAGTACCTGAGCGAATTCGATAATGAGCAGGGTCAGTAGTAATCCCTGAAGGAGAAATGAGGTACCCCCAAAACAGGAAAGGTGATGTGTTTACTCCATTCCGTATGATGACCTTGTATTCCAGCTTAACCTTCCTCACGTAGTACGGATTCGGAAGTATTCAATCCACCATAACAAGACAGCAAAGACAGATTAACAACAATAATCAATTTAAGAAAACAAATAAATAAGTACAGTAACAGATTACCTTGAGTTGATTGAGTCCTAAACACCACACTCTATACTACCGCGGGGCAGACACTCACTCGTACTGGCACTCATATGACTTAAGAAAACAACAGAAGATCAGGGCGCAGTCTAACGAGAAAATAATGAAGGTTGGGAACAGGTTGATAGGGAAGGATATGTCACACTAATCGACCCGTTGTATAAAGTGTCTTCATTTTTTTCATCCACGTATTAGGCCCTCTAATCTGTTGCGATACATAATTAATGTTGAAAATCAATCTTTAGACATTTGAAAGGAACTGTTGTCGCCCATTAAAAAACCTCATTCATGAACAGGACAAAATCAACAAACAAAATGAAAACATAAATCAATGTTCTGTATTCGATCCCAGTCCCCTGATTTTATTGATTCAAAATATTCATTATAGTCTTCACAAAATCTCAAACTTTTAACTATTCCGATCGATCTGAATTCAATGTCCAGGTCTGCATCCTGTTTCCGGAATACTTATTTTATGAATGGACTTCCGTGTAACCTCAGTTCTTTCAAGTTAACTCCTCCTCTAAGCACATCAAATGTCTGAATTCGGAAAATTATTGCATTATTTGTAGTCACTGGCTCGAGTGTCATTTTATTACCCGTAGTACAATGTGGGAATGTTGTTAACAGGTCACAGGGCAATATGTCGGATTGTGTCCATTAGCTAGAAACAGGGAAAAGTAACAAATTGAACTCCTGACACCTCAAACGCTACAATAAATCCCTGTATGACAAATTAATGTTACTAAAATCTGTTGTCTCAGTGTCGCATGAATTACGAGCGACAAGAACATATTCATGCCTCAGCGGAAGTGAATAACCACATCCATCTTGTAACAGGAATCAAGAACCACAACCCCCAAATTAAAAAACTTGGTATTATACCCGGACGATAGATGCGGATGGTGCAAATCAACAAATTAAACTACTGAACACAGTCTATGATAATTAAATGTTCAAAATTGTTAAGGTAATTTTAGCTTTTTGAAAAATCATGTTGCAAAAAATATTTTTATTAATATATTTAATAATATATTTAATAATTGTAAGCTGTACTAAACTGAAGCAATAATAGCAGACTAAATAATTATTTACAACAAATGAGGTGTACATAACAATCAATAAAGCTTGCCTGCTTGGTGCCAAAATCCATTTAAAAGCCTTACCAAGAAATTGCGGGGAAATAATTAATAAATATGAATTTACCAAGAGAAATTAAAGACGTGTGGGTATTCCAAGAAGCGCTCATTAAGCCAATTGTATGAGCAAGAAGAGAAATCCCGCATACCTTAGTCGTCGGGACGCTCTAGGATTATCTGGAAAGCCGTGGAGAATTTCAGGGTTAGTCGATGCTTATACAAAAGCGTACGGGCCGGGCACAGAGCGAATGTACTAACTGATTAGGCGGTGCAATTTAATGGAGGCGAGACACGCTTGACTGAATGCTTTATACCTGCATTTGCTTCGACAGGCTGTCTAAAAACAATAACAACCCTGACCTAGATTCCAACTGAGTACAATACCAGTACATATTTTATTTCTGGTTAATTTCACGGCGCTACCAGTAACACGGACAATAAGACGTTAAATTTACGAAAGGCTATCGATAATTAATTGGAAATCAGGCGGTTTTGGCCAAATATTAGTCAGCATAATTGTTTGGAAGGGTTGAAACACCGTTAAACAACTCAATCAGGACAGCCGGTCTCCGGGACAAGATTTGAACTTGAGGTATCCGGAATACGACGCACTAATTCTAACAAATCGTCCACGACCTTCTGTAAGTAGATGGTCTTTCGTGCATCAAGTTAAAGAGATTCATATAGAACAGTTTCCTTGACAACAAGGTGGAGGAAAGAAATGAAATGGACCTGAAGGTTTTGTGAGACTGAATTGTGAATAAGCAAGGCGGAAAAAGGAAATTTGTGAAGGGAGTAGTAGCTGGTAAATAATGGAATGTGTCTTACTCTCAAGTTACTACTCGGTCATCCAATTTCTCCTTCTCACACCTCTGCCCGTCTTTACAGTGAGGAAATTCGCTTGCAGTTGTAACAATGATGGGCCGTTTGCATTGTCAAATAATTAACTAGAAGACACTCATTTGTAATTATCACATTTTCTTTACAAGGGGTGTGCAAACTGTCCGAGTTCTAAGTTTTATTCTGTTCCTCCTCACTATGTTGGTTAATGCTATCACAGATTCATTATATGAACCTTTCCGTCTCAAAACGAATGCTACATAATTAATCTTTTCGGTACATAGTAGTATTCCTTGTGTGCTAGATCAGCAGAATTTCTTAAGGTTTCACTGTCACAAGAAATGTCATGACAATGCGTAAACCGATATTCGAATGTGCTTATTTCATTGATTTCAGTGGGATCACATTACTGTATCTTTCAGGAAGATCCGTCTTCCGAATATACTACATCTTCAATATATTTTCGTGGCATGAAGCAGATTATACGCTGTATAAATATATATGAACTGCATGAGTATTTTCACTCTTTATTCCGTCAAATTACGTCGTGCGCTTTGGGAGAACCCGCGGACTCGTAAATACCACCTATTGTTGTAAATCATTCGACCAATACAGAAATTACAGCCTAATCTTTAAGTTTGTATCACTTAACTTGATAATATCTCCACTATTAAATTATAATTGCATAATATTTTAGAGATCATTCAAAGAATACAACAAATAATAAACATATATTATTCATATTTATTGAATTTCCGACTTGTTTAGGCCCTACCCGGAACCAGTACCAGATGGAACATATACGTTGCTATTTAATATATGTAATTATATTATTTATCACATGGTACAGTTAACCATAATTACATATATGTACATTAATCAGGAAAAATAAAACTATAAAGTATATAATCAACAATATTTAAAATACACAAGAAGAACTGCGCCTCGTTGCATTTGTAAACATTAAAGTGTAAAAAACTAGTGTTTTATTTCAACTGCAGTAACGTCTTTGAGATATTCTTGTTTACGATTGTTTAATGAAAGACGTATTAATTTTCATCAAAATGCTTAAGTCCTCATCGTATTTACTTTGGTGTATAATTATGCAGTAAACCTAAAATTTCACTTTGGGTTTACGTTCTTATGACTGTAGCCTGTGTCATGGGAGTAGGTCAAATTATTTTCCTTCTGTAGTGATGTTTATGCCGTCATGTTAGTAGTGGTTGATGACTTAAAAACTAACAACTGATGTCCAATCAGAAGAGAAAGAAATACTTAACGTAAATTATTGATAAGAAAATCTCTTGGGAATTTACCACCAATCACAACAACGTAAGGCACAGGTGTGAGAAAACATTTTAGATTGTAAATGCAGCCGCAAATTATAAATGGTTTATGAATTTTCTTTTGGCGGGAATGAACTATGTTTTTGTAGTAGCTGCAAGGAATTTCTCTAACATTCAGTATCGACCGATTGTTCAGGGGAGACTGCGGGTGCCTAAAAATTAATTATAGTTGGGTTGCTTAATTTTTTACGTTCTCTCTTCCCTGAGAAATTCTTTTGTAATTTTAATATTCACTAAGAAGGATTCCAGACACTGTTTTCTTTCCATTCACCGATCCGTGTATGTTTACTCACGCCCACAATGAACATTTCCGTGCGATAAAACCGACTTCATACTTCCGTGTATTGTCACATTCAATAACTGTCGCTTACAATTCACAAAAACACATTGCATAGGTTTTATATTACCTCTATATTACCTTCATAATAAACTGACGGCGTTTGCTGTGCTGATATGGTTATTCAAATTCTACTATATACATCCAATAAGATTTAGTCTATAGAAAATAAAATAACAGAGTTACGATATTCTGGGGATCAAACAAAGTCCTTCACCGACTACCACTTGAGGTACATTCCTATTCCTCTTCTCACAGGGCTCCAGATTCAAGTACCGATCCTTTAGCCAGGGCAAATCATTTCAGTAACTTAGTAGAGTTAAATTTAACCTAGCTAAGAAGAATATGGTATATATTGTTTTATGCGCTACAAAATATGTGAAAATATTTAACTAGTAACAGTTTCGCATAAACTGTTTTGATAAAACTGTTTTAATTTTTCATATTCTAACCCATTTCTTATCTCATACAACAATAACCCAATTTAATATTTGTCTAGAAACTAATTAACGAAGTCCATTTAGCAGCGTCTTTGCTGCCAATCTGATAATCATTAAACGGAGTAACATAAATGTTCATTGCCACATTCACAACAACCAAAGCCAGGTCTTGTCTTGAGCACATTCTGTCCAGTCCACCCATAACCTATTCCTTTAAGATACATTTCAAAGACAACTTTAGACCCCAAGGTGGTCCATTCCTTTCACGTTCGGAACCTAATTTTATACAATTTCATTTACCCCATTCTAAACATTGGTTAGAAGATTGTGATTTTAAAGACGTTATAGTATTAATATTTGGTATTTACATTATAGCCTAGCCATATTCTGCATTACTGTAAAGCATCTATTTTCTGAAAATTTAAAATTTCTCATTAGAGATAAAACTGATTTGCATTGCTCGTTTCTATTACAAATGCTTAAACAGCGTTTTCACCAGTTTATTGACGAATTATAATACAGTATAAAGATAGCCACGGTGGTCTAGCGGTTAGAACGCCGGCCTTGTAATCCTGGGGTCTCGGGTTCGATTCCCGGCGGTGCCCGAATTTATAACTTGTGTTGGGCAAGGCCGTGGTCTAGGCAACACGGAGTTTTCCTACGGGGGCTTCCCCGGTTTCTCCGTGGCATCCCAACAATTACTCCATTCACACACAGAAGAAGGCAATGGCAAACCACTTCTGGATCATCTGCCAAGAACGTATATGAAAGGTCCCAGTCCGAGAAAAGGATGGAAGATCCTGTTCATATGGACTCGTTGGCAGACAGATTACTACAAATAAAATAAGGTGAAGAGTGAAATGGCATGTAAATATTTTCCAAATGCACTTTCTTTTGATATAACCTAACCTCAGCCATGATGTTATTTATTGCAGGGCTCGTTGCACTACAGGGTCAAAAATTATAT